CTCCCTAACTTAACTAGTGGTGTTATATGAGTTGGGGTAGGGATGGTTTGGGGAGCTAGTTCGCGTTCTCTCGGTTGGAGGTGGGTTGATTTAAGACGGGTTCGGGTCCCGAGTTTGGTTGCTGTATAGGCGGTCTCCGCAGTTTCGGTAGCGGTTCCTTGGACAGGGGCTCTTCTTGGGTCGATTGTTACTCTGCTGACTGGGCTGGTTGTTTGGCTGAGGAAGGGCCTAGTCTTTTGATTTTTAGTTTTTTTTTTTAGTTTCGTTCGTGTGTCTTGAGTCTGTTTGTGATGTTTTTGGTCATGTTTTTTTGATTTGGGACGTTTGGCCTCAGTGAACCCGACTGTGTGCGGGTTTGTTTCTGTGTTGGTTGTCTTGTGTTGTTTAGGTTTGTGTTTTTGGTTTGAGCCGTTGGCCCCTGTGAGCCTGCGGGCATTACTTCGTTGGAGATCGTTCCACATTACTCCGTTTGGGGGTCGTTCCACATCACCCCGCTGGGGTCGTCTTCGTTAGGTCTTTGTGTTGTGTTGTTTAGAGTTTGTTTTCTAGCGTTGCTAGCCGAGTTCTAGGCGATCTTATGACCTGACCTCCCAGTTTTTAGTCGTTGGCTGTTCTATTCAGCTATGGGCTATGTACTTTGCACATTTGTGCGTTTTTTATTTATAATATCTCTATCGTTTCGAACAAAAAAACAAATAAATAAAAATTGTGATTAACACAACTTTTTTAGAACAACTTTTCGCAAACCGCATAATTGATCTTTGTTGTCGATATTTCTATAATTGTAGTAATTATTTGCCGATTGAATATATCAGTCGGATTTACGCAATTTGCGTATATTATTATTATTACTATTATTATCCATAACATTTCAAACTATTTATTTCCTATCAATTTCATACAAAATCAAAAACAAAATTATGTACCTAAAAAACAAGTAAAACCAGTAGGTACAAAATTTTGTACCTATATTGAAAAGACAGGCAAAAGAATAAATAAAAAGGACAAAAAACACACAATGCTCAAAGATAAATATGGAATAAATAAATTTATTCCCAGTACAACTTTATGTCACAAATTTTAAAGCTATTTTAGAAAAAGAAGCCAAATAAGGCACTTCACTGGCTTAAATTCTCAGGGAATTTGTTCTTGGCTATGGAAAATGATCAGTGCCTTCTTTTTGTACAGTACAGACATAACCAATTATTATTATTATTACAATTAAATAGAATTATTGAATCTCATCATACGTGTCAAAGAGATATTATAGGTGTAACAAGCCGAGCCGAGTTCGAGCTCATAATATTCAAGCTTGAGCCTTTATCAAACCGAGTTAAGCCTGTGATGTAGCGCAGCTTCGAACGAAAGGGACAAGAGAGAACAAATCTCAAAACTATCGTTTTTTTTTATTTCCTCCAAAAACTGCGACTAATGACAAGAGCAGATAGATAAATAGAGTTCCTAGCAATCCAAACACCTAACTTGCTAGGCAAGTAAATTCCTAAAAATATAATTAATATCCTACTAACTTAATAAAATAAATAAGGAACAATAATAAAATACTCATGCAATTAATTAATTAAACTAGAGCTGGGATTCGATCGTATTTGTCCATAAACGCTATCGCGATCTCGTCTCCATCAGCCTGGCTCATTAACTAAATGAGTCAATAAGCTAGCTCTAGCTCAGCTTGTTATCACTATTACCGTGTCCAGCTAAAGTAAAAAAAAAAGAAAAAAAAAAACACAAAAATCACTATTCATGAGACTTCACGAGCCAAACCCGGATCGACTCATTAACTCAACGAGCTTTTTCAACGAGTCGAGCAAGCAACTCTAGAGATAAAGCATCTGGCAAGCACACGATCGACGTATTATTCTTTTTAAAGCCTCAAAATTGTGCTTATCTCATGCCCAGACTATATTCTCAGGGCCCACTAAAACATGTTGATTTGCACCATTTTTTCACCTATAAATAGCAACTCAAATTGAACTAAAGAAACCACAAACACAAGAACACAAAATACATCAATTTCTAACATAAACATCCATTGTATTTTTTTTTTTTTTACTGCTTCAAACACTCAAAAACTTCATCATGGCAGATAAGTGCACTGGCTGTGACTGCTCTGATAAGAGCCAATGCGTGTAAGTGATTTATATCATTTGATTCATTCAAATATTCATAATGCATACGAATATAATAACATAAATTGACATAAAATATGAATGAATATATATATATTGCAGGAAGAAGGGGTACGCTGCTGACCTCATCGAGACCGAGCCGAGCCTTTTGTTCGTTTCTCCATCTAAAACTTCGTTTCTCATTCACTAGCACAAATCAAATAGAAAATTTACTCAACGAATATTAGTAAAAACAAAAAAAGGTTTTATTATCATTATATATTTATGTTTGCAGCTTTTCGGAGAATGTTGATATGGGTGTGCTGGCAGCCGGAGAAAACGACGGCAAGTGCAAGTGCGGCAGCAGCTGCACTTGCACCAACTGCACCTGTGGCGGTCACTGAAAAAATCCCCCTTAAACCTGAGCAAGTATTGACTACAAAAGGGAGCACCTTAATGACTATAGTCTATCATGATGAATAAACTTTGTAATGTGTTGGTTTTTGTGTGGGAATCAATTTAGTGATCCATTTGTGGTTCACTAAGCATATGTAATAATATTTGAAGTTTTATCTAATAAATTATGGACTAAATAATATTGGTGTCTTGTATTTGTTATTTATTTCAACTCAGCAAACTTAGGAAACAAAAGTTCAGAGACAACAACAATAATACAACAATGACAACGACAAAAAAGATTGAGCTTTAGCATGTTATAGGCATGTAAACGAGCTGAGCTCGAGCTCGAGCCCTTAACAACTCGTTAAATAAACGAGCCTGAAATTGAGCTCGAGCTCGAGCTCGGCTCGTTTATTATTAATAGCGAGCCAATTTCGAGCTTTAATTAGCCGAACTATAAAAAATTATATAAAATTCTCTTTCCGAGCCTAAACGAGCCTTATCGAGCCGAGTAACCAAACGAGCTTTAAATGAGCTCGAGCTCGGCTCGCTTATCAAACGAACCAAGTCGAACTCGAGCCTTAACGATGCTGAGCTCGAGCTGAGCCGAGCCAGGCTCATTTAATTTAATAGCACTTAGACTTTAAAATAATGCAGAAGCCGAACATCGGACACAGCAAGCTCATAACATATCTAGCAAAGTTAAAGCGATGGAAAACACACTATGAACTTAACTAAAATCCGATACTTTCTCGAGAGATCAATGATTCTACACACGATCCCTATCACTCGTAATGGTTATTTAAGAAAAAATCTATGATTCTGTAAAAGCCCGATTTTTCCAATCAATTCAAAATTTTGTTCTACCAGGGTTTCAAACACGAGATATAATTTTTTTATTCTTTGCACTCTGGTTCGTATGCCTGCAAGTAACAGGTAACACACTAATCAATAGGGACATCAACAAACTCATGCTATGTATATTTGAAGCACAAGGCCAATCAATTTATTCAAATTCGATTGCAGCACAATCAGACAAAAGAAAATAATTCAATTCTCATCCTTTCAAGCTGATAAGCTTCAAATTTCACCAGTATTCAAAGGAGTCTTTATTATTATTATTATTTTTTTTCAGCATTTGGACAATGGGAGTTTCATCCGATTTACTTAACTAGACAAATAATGGTATAAACCATACCTACATAAAAAGAAAATCAACCTAGTTTTCGAAATCATAAACAACACCGAAGAAATTAAAGTTCTTTATTCTATCTTCCAAAGACGAACCGAACCGAACCGAACCGATTTTCTCAGACGTTGAAGCCTTCCGCACGGAGGCATTTCTTGTGGGCTTCGATCCATTTCTCGCAAGCAGATTCTCCATGCTCCACAACGCATTCGTCCCTTAGCTTCTTGGTCTCAGGGCAAGCGCAGCAAATCCTCTTCTTGGGCTTCGAATCTGATCCAGGCCCAGATGATACAGACGTCGGGCCTTGGTCCCTCTGTGATTGAAGAGAGATGACAGAAGGACTCTGTATTGGTAATCCACCCATCTTCACTGGCCAAAAGGAAAATACTGCATATTAGAGAAGCTACCCGCAATAAATAAATGAATATTAGCATCAAGAAAGAAAACAACACAACTAAAAAATCGGCACTTTTATTTTTCAATTCAACACCTGCAACATTATGAGCAAATAATCTACCATCCATATAATAGTATTATATCAAAAAACATAATTTGGTCCGTTATTGAACAAGGGTTGCGAGCATTTTCCATACCTATATACTGCATAAGAAGAAATCAACGAGTCGCACGCTCGGAACTACAAAGAGAGGAAGTGAATTCCCTAAATAAACTATTGCTCACAAAACAAGTTCTTCTATCATTCCCAGCTCATTATCATTCATCGAGCAAATAAAACGTAAATGCGCCGTCAATAACAGGAAACACATTTTAGTAATCTCGATGTTTTTAATTAGTTAAATCTAAGCTATTTCATTCTCAAGGTAGAGAAAAACCCTATTCCCAATCCATATAACCTAAACAACACAACACATATCAAAATAGACAAACCCCTTTCTTCAAAACCATGTTTTAAGTACACACAAAAACATCATATTATCCAACATACATATATTCATCAGAAGCAATACGATTTAATTACAGAATCACAAACCTAAACACAGAAACACGAGATTTCACGATTAAACTAGTTAATTACGAACTAAAACCCCCAAAAAACAGCATCAACATAAAATCGAGCAACATGAATCTTATAACAAAAGCATGAAATACAAATCACGCTTCTTTTGAGTGATTACAGAGAGAAATATACTGGAAAAAAAATAAAAAAGAAAAAGGATCTCACCTTCCTCACCGAGCCAAAAAACAGTGAAGAGGTTCGAATCGGGGAAAAATGGAATATTGTTATAAAACTAGAAAGAAAAGAGAGAGAATAGAGAAATTAGGTGTGTTTTTCATTATAACTGAAGCTCCTATTTATAGGAAATTTCTGATGGCACAACCGTAATATCAGGGATAAAATAGTCATTCACATACATTATTTTATAAATATTTCACAACACTTCCCCTTGAATGACTATTTCTAAACATATTTTAACTAATTAGAACAAAGTCCAATTTGCACATCTTCAAGTATATCTTGTGGCCATCATGTATCGTTGCTTCAGCATGTCAGGAAAACCCAGTGGGACAAAACCTGATCATTGTGGAATCTCAACATTTCTCCTCAGGAAAACCCGGTGGGACAAAACCTGATCATCTTGAAATTATAACATTGCTTCCTCAGGAAAACCCGGTGGGACAAAACCTGATCATCTTGAAATTATAATATTGCTTCCCCAGGAAAACCCGGTGGGACAAAACCTGAGCATTGTGGAAGTACAACATTGCTCCCCCTCAAATAGATCATCTTTAATGGAGTATCCACGTGCTGCCTCGTTAAAACCTTGTCAAGAAAACCCAGTGAGAAAAAACTTGATCGAAGTAAAAAGAGTACAGCTACTCCAATGTTTTCTCATCATAATGAGGAATCATATCAATTATTCAGTAGTCCTCATTATACCATGAATATGCCTCATTAAAACCTTATTAGGAAAAACCCAGTGGGACAAAATCCTAATGAAGGAAAAAGAGTACACTATTCATGTGAATACGCCATCCTTGTTGCCTCATTAAAAACCTTGCTAGGAAAACCGAATGGGACAAAAACCTCAGCCAAGGGAAAAAGAGTACAACGCGTATTCCATATATTCACCATAATAACTTTTTCATAATTTTCATGAATATCATATAGATTCATTCAAATTTTTCGATACTGGTGGTATTTATGATAATATTCCATATCATGCTTTTGTGCAACTTTTATTTTTAAACTCATTCTCATCATCAATCGATTTCAACGGTCTTACTGCCAATAGTTCCCAATATTCACATTTCAGCTGATCAATATCATTTATATAGCGCTATTCATTTGTTTGTGTCGACACATATTCTTTCCATTATTCCCCGTAATATATTGAGATATCTCATTATCAGTTGAATTCATCAATAGTATATATATGCCTCCTTTCATCACTTATTTGGGGAATTTCAATTTGCACAATGTCAACGCTTCCAGCGTATTATCATTTTATATATTTCACCACCATCAGTAACATTCAGTTTTTTATTTTTGCACATTTCAGTGTGATGCATATATCATTTTCCAAATTTCAACAATTGATTCTCCCCCTCATCTTAACAGATCCTTGATCTGTATTTTCAGTATTGAGTTTCTTGAGAGGAGTTCATATAATCTCCATTTCATTCTCAATTTCAACATATAATAGGAGGACTTTGAACTCATATCACTTGTAATGTGCACATTTTTCATCTCATCATATTAGCTGATTATATTACTAGCTTCATCACTTTCATATGACACTTATTTTCATTCTTTCACAGCCATCTTGTGTCATTCTTTGATCAAACCATCTCGTAATTTCAGGTTACTGATCACACACATGTGGCTGTCTAGTGGATCCATAATATCTAGTAG